AGTTACAAGCAAGAGTTGTCAAAGAGCTGAACTTTGTATTGGAAACACTGAGCAGAAAAGGATGAACAGTTGTACATTACGCTATTCAAACAAATAAAAAGAAATTCTCAGAACAGAAGAAAAGACAAAGCGATCAATATATAAATTTCGTTATAATAGATGAAAAAAGATGAACATAACATTTTCTCATAAAAGGAAGAAAAAATCTATTCCTTGGTCTAAGCTTATAAATGTACAGTTAACCAAAAAGTATGTATGGATCAAACCAAACAATGAGAAAGAAACTAAAAATAATTTGTGATTAAGTTTGTGAGGAAAGGTGTCTTCAAAAGCACTGGGTTATCAAACATTGTGACTGTTAATCTGTCACACCCATCCAAAGAATAATATGAAATACATATACTAACAATACACTTACTAATGAAACTGCTCTAACAGAGGATGTATGACATTAAAACATCATGATATGGTATCACTCATATTGTAGCATACGGTATATCATCCATTTCATGTCATGTCATATCACAACCTCATTAACCTACATGATCATAACTAATGCTAAGCTACTAAATACAGGTCTTAATTGGGAGATAAGACTGATTCTTTGTTTTAAATTAAAAATATTTTATATTCAGGCTTTGATACCTTAAAATGCCTGCATTTGTGACTGACATTTAAGAAAAAAGAAGAAATAAAAGAACATTGATTCTTCATACATCACACCTGACAAAAAAATCTGAAATTGAATGTGATATTTGAGGAAACTCAATTATGACTGTGAACAACTTTACAAAAAACAACTGTTGTGGAAACTGTAAAAGAAACAAACTTTTCTATTCTAAAGGTTTCAGATCTGCAAGTTGTTTTCTTGCATTTGCAGCCAATGCAGAATATCTCCACTTTCCCATTTTCCTACACTACTAGCTTATTGCATGAGCTAAAAGTTATGGCAACCTTCATCTTTTTTTTTTACTATTTTTTAAAATATCTTTTTTAAACAGATCTTTATAAAAGCCACTTCCATGACTGTCATACATGAAGCGCAAAGGGACACTGAAATGTACGTGACATTAATACTCTTTCACTTTAATACTTTGTTATATATATTGCTAGAGGATCACTTGCATCATTTTCATCAAAGGCATACAACTACAACTACAAAACTCATCATTCATGGCTCTATACTGAGTTTTGTATGGGTTATGGCAGTTTGATTTGAAATCTCTTTTTATGTATGTATGTATATATAACTTACCTACACAATCATTCCCTAGCATCTCAAATTTCTTTTTATCGCTTCAAATAAAGAATACCCAGGCAATTAAACTATAATGCTTAAGAAAGTTAAATAAAGCTTGTAAGACTACTGTTTCTCTCTCTCTAATTTCCTTAATTGCAAAATAATTTGTGAGCAGGCAGGGGAAAGAAAGAGAGAGAATAAAATAAAAGGAGAAACATCATAAAAAGGTAAGAGAAATTTGTTTTTCTCTGAATACAATTAATCTGAATAAATAAATACACAAGACACAATACACATCACATATCATTTATAATTACTTTAAGTCACATAAAATGAAACTGAGAGAAACACATGATCAGGTTTTCTTGATTCTTTTTCCATAAGAATAAAATCAACAATGATAAGCACTCATGACAAGGATGTATAATGTGCAATGCGTCTTGTAGACAAAAACAAACAAACACACAAATGAACTTATAAAGAATAGAAAAAAAGAAAAAGAAAAGAAAAGCAAGTATATGGCAAGACAAGCATATACTAAGAAAAAGAACAAAATGGGATGAGAATGAGAAAAAGCATCCAGCTTGCCCTTTGGGTCGCCCCCTTCCACACCAATGCCGGGTTCTTGAGCCTCCACCAATGAAAAGAGCATGTGAATTGTGTGTGTGGAACACATAAATTATTTTTCTGCAATGATCTTTCCCTTTTTCTATACCTCATAAACATACTAAAAGTTCTGCAGCCTGCATTCTTTCCAATATTCATTCACTATTTTTTTATTATTATTCTTTGTCAACCTGACAATGCAGTAAAGTCCCTTCACACATCATGCTCTTAGATCTAAAAGAACTATCTTCAGAAAGCACAAACACATCCATGTAAAATTCTACAGGATCGAAAGAGTTGGAGGTTGCTCCATCTACTTCCAAAGTGTTTGTCGTGCCTGATTGGTGGAGGCTCGTGGATGTCAAGACAGGGGTGTCGCCAAGTCGCCTAAAATCTCCTTTTTGATCTGAAAATATAGTTATAAAGTTCTTTAAGTATATATACAAACATTTATCTGCTATTTAAAAAAAAGCAAAGTGATTGTGTGAAGCATTATGCAATGAAAGCATGCATGGTGTACATCAAAATTAAAAGTTGAATCTATTCATCAAATAAAATCTTTAAATTAACTTAATTCTATAAATCTTGATTTTTTTTTTTAAGAAACTATCTACATGAAAAAAGAAATGGAAAATCTTCAACATTGCTTACAAAACTGAATAATTTTAGAAGTATGAGAAGTATGTGGCATCAGTCATCTGATGGTCTGTGTCCTAGTATCACCTGGTCTGATGTGGGATGAGCTATCATGACAGAATATTTTTGTCTAAACATAAACATTACAGTATACCTTATGTGTATGAGGATAAACAAAATGTTATTTTGACATTTCATCCTAATTTCTGAATCATACCACAACTGTATTTGTCCCTTCCTGTTTGCGTGTTCTACATGTCAGCGTTTTGTCTTAACTATCTTTCCTTTTGACTGTTTAGTTAAACAAACCCTGAGTGGTGCGCAGGAAAGCCATGATCTGCCTGTCAGCATTTCACCGATAGGAGTCCATTTATCTTCTGTGGGGCTGTAAGATTCAATGGTGTCATGGAAATGCTCCCAACCATCCTCTCCTCCAAGTATGTAGATCTTACTGTCAACCACTGCTACACCTGCACACACGCAATAAAATGTAAATTACACTTCAAGCGAGCAGTACTATCCAATAGAGTATAGATGAGAAAATCACTCTGTAAAGTAATTCGCAAAAAGAATACAATCAAAGAGGCTAGCAGGTATGCCAGCCCATGGTTGAGGGTCTAAACAAAAAGAAAAAAATACACAATATATGATTTAAAATGAGATTATTGGATAATTCAAATATACATCTTTTCAACCATAAGGAAATTATGAGATGGATTTGAAGGATACTTTCTTCCCAAAAGTCATAAAAACATCAAATGGTGCAAAAACAATGGTGATAATCTTGACACATACACATTAATAATTGTATCTTTATATTTTGTACAAATACTACTGGCAAATGAAACAAGAAGTTGACTTAAAAGTAAGTATATGTTTTTCTGGATATGTGTTGTGGCTTATGATTGCATAAGTGCAGAATATATACCTGGTCTATAGCGACGTTCACACATGCCGGCCACAGTTTGCCATGTACTGGTTCTTGGATCAAACCTCTCTACTTTATTTGTATTTTCTGTTGAAGCATGCCATCCTCCTGTAAGGAAAAATATGTGGCTGGATGATAATAATAATGACAATAATGATAATAATAATAATATTAATAATAAAAATATTGATTTTCATTATCATTATCACTATATTATTAATAATCATAAAAATATCAGTAAAAAAAAAAAATCATCATCATCATCCCCAACATAAACCAACCAATAATATAAATGAGTCCATGAAGAACCGCTGCTGCTGAACCACTGCGAGGAATGATCATTGAAGGAAGCTGCTCCCATGTGTCTGTGTGAGGGTCATACACCTTGAAATAAAGGAATTCAAATTAGACAGACCTTAAAGGGAACTCCGATGATTCTAAAATCTACTCATAAAAATATGAGGGAATTAATTAAAATACCTACTTGAGCCATGTCAATGCCATCTCCATCCTCTAAGATGGCCCCTCCACAAACATACAGCTTTCCTTGGCAGGCAGCCACTGCAGGTGATGTGAGGGACAACTTCATTGGAGCAACCTCCTTCCACGAGTTTGTACGTGGATCATAACGTTCCACGGAGTCCAATCGGCTGGACCCATCCCATCCACCTACAGCATAAATATATCCATCGAGAGAGGCAGCTCCTGTAGGGTGTAGAATAGCGCATTCAGGCCTAATAATAGTGAGGCAACAATTATTTACAAGAAATCATACATAAAGAATGTGGCTATGGGTAAATTTGCAATGAAGTCTTCAAGGCAGATTCCATTAAGAGAATTTTGCCTAACTTATGAGATCTACTCTTTTGTTGTTACAACTGGATTTCAAGTCTTTAACCAACACACAGCAGGATAAATAATTTGAAAAGCTGATTTACATATATGAAGAGCATTCTTAAAAGAAGCCATAATCATACAGCTGACAAGGTTTTGAGAATAAAGAGAGAGAGAGGGAACAAAAAGTCCATGATAGGGAAAAAAAGAAAAAAAGAAAAAAAAAAAAAAATATATATATATATACACACACACACATATAATATATATATATATATATATATATATATATATATATATATAATATATATATATATATATATATATATATATATATATATATATATATATATATATATATATATATATATAAATAAATAAATAATAATAATAATATTACACCCATAACAACCCTTACCTAATTCAGATCTTGGCATTGACATAGGAGCTAGATCGTGCCACTCATCCAAAACAGGATCATAGCGCCACATGCACCGTGTGACAGTGCCATCAGGAAATTCACCACCCGCTAAATACATAACATTTTCTCCTGAGACAACCAGTCCATGTTTACTGAAAGGTAAACCTAAGCATTAAAATTCCCTTTTCAATTGCCCTCTTAAATTAAATAAATAAATAAATAAAATAAATGAAGCTCTGAAAATCAGAATATTATTTTGATTTTTCAAATATGTACATTTACATATATGCATTGTAGAACAAAGCTATAAAAAGATGCCTCTAAACTAAAATGCAAACCTTAATATTTTGAAACCACACCACCTAATGTACATTTTAATTCCTTTTCTGAAAGGACCCAACACTATTTTTTCTTATATACTTCAGGTTTTCTAACAAATAATATAACCATAATCATTGCCATCACTGCTGAGTGTCAACCACTTGGCACAAGGACATGCAATGTCCACTGCAGTTTTGCTTTGTGCATTTTGTTTGGACACAGATTGTTTCACAAGTGCTCAGCCACTTCCAGTTTCCTTGATTTTTTAATTTTTTCCCTAATGCTATTAACTCACTGGATCCAAGTGATGTGACCTTCACATCATGAATAAATTTGGCTAAGGGGCGGATATGGTAAAATTTGGCTGAAGACGGAGGTGACCGAAATGTGCTATAATGAAAAATTAGGCTGAGGGCCAGGGTGTCAGGAATGACTCATCATGAGTGCACAAAGCTCTTGGAATAGGATTAGCCTCACTGTACTGTTTCCATCCCTAAACAAGGGTGGAATGTATCATCTGTGAGCCTTGTTTAGAAGAGTAATGGCTCTAGGGAGGATACTGTTTCCATGCTCAGGATCCTTATAAATATGTCACAAATAACATAATGTTACTTATTGATATTGTTATTGCACAGAGTTGTAGACTACCTAGAGAGAGTCAGCTCAACAATTCATCATAAAATATGACAAATATAGACAATGGAAAATGGTAAAAAAACAAAAATGCTGATATATAAAAAGAACTAATAACATTGCAAAGGAAAGACAAACAGTCTTGATGCCACACAAGTGTTTGTGTGGGCAGGGTCTACAAGCCACACACCCAGGAGTCACTCATGTAAGCCTAATGCCTAGATTTTGATCCTCATGTAATGGCTTAAAATGAATACTGAACAAATGAAATTGGTAGGATTAGTAATTGACTCCTTGGTGACTAAGCACTAAAATGGAATTAATTTAATGAATTAGAAAATACAAATACTATTTGAATCTGAAATGTTTCAATACTAAGAGATGGATGAAGCTCAGCCTACATAATTCCAGAAAAAAGACTAATGAGAGAATTCAGCTTACACATAATAACCATAATGCTGAACAGACAGGCAATTACATCAGCTTCCCGGATCAATTAATAGTTATACCGTTTTGCCATAAAAACAAATAACTGAAATCAACTAATAGGAACAAATAATAGCTAAACTGTGATACCATCAATGGTATCACTGACAGATACTGCTAGCAAAGTTTCCTTTGATCTTTACTGGACAAAACCAGACATACAAATCACCATACAACATATACAGTTATATATGATACTATGAACACACCTCACGGCAAACGGTAGACAAGAGAGACTCCTCCAGCAGTGAGCATGTGGGTCGTAACATTCAACTGATCGCAACACAAGTTTGTTATCCTCACCGCCCACTGCCACAATTACCTGCCAACAAATATAAACAAACTAACATTAACAGCACTAATGTCAATCTCTCAAAATCCTTAGTCACATTTTCTATAAGCTGATCCCAGACACTATAAAATGGATTTGGACCATGAGAGATTATCCTTACAGTCGTTGTGTTCGTGTTCCTTCGATGTCTCGTTCTCGGGGATGTCAGCTGGTGGCGTCTGTCGGGAAGGAGATGGTAGAGCCTCGCCTCCTCCACTATCACACGGCACTCTGGCGAGGACCTCACGGCCATTTCTCCTTCCACAACATCCACTAAAAAATAAGGACTAACAAGGGCTAGTCTCACATTCTCCAAGATCTGCAAAAGAAAGAACAGAATCCTGAATGTGTATCTGTGTGTACATTTGTGTGCTATTGTGCGTGTGTATGTACATAAAAAACAAAAAACAAAAATAAAATGCAATCATCAAAATCTCCCAAAATTACCTTATGGAAAGTAGGTGCTCTTGCTTGGTAGGAATGGTGAAGCCAAGCTGTGGCGGCTCCAAACACATGCTCTTCCCTTTCCACCTCCAACTCATCTGCAGATATTATCTCTACAACCTTTTCGACAGGGAGATTCAACCATTCTTCTCCTACGACCACATTTGTGAAATTTCTGAAGAATGAGAGAAACCAGTTACCTTTAAGTCAACTGAAGTTATCAGTGATGAAATACATAGAAAATAAAACTATATAATGATCACAAGAATTAATATATCATAATGAAAAGAAAATGATAATAATAACAAACCACCACTACTACTACTGCTATTGATAATGATACATAGCAACAATGAATCTATCAACTGGTCCTAGGCCATAAGTAATCCAGCAGTTAATCTGCACTATGATTTGTCAATGGTTTTCACTGAAATCCTGACGAAAAAGAACTACATAAATTGCAAAGATTACATAGCTTTTTTTTGTTCTATAGAAACAAGTGTTCAACACATAAAGTAATGATAATAACAATAAAAAGAACAATATTATCAATAATAGTGATAACAATAATGATATGAAGTTACAATTGTTATTACGATTATAGCAATGAAAAAACACACTTAATGATTCATAACACAAAGAACCTTCACTACCTTAATGTATAAGCTTTGGCTTTCTTGGTGAGCTCGTGGCAAGCATGTGCTTCAGCAAAGCAGTGAATCCCAACACAATTTGATACATCAATATGACGCTCCAAGAATCGGCAACATGCCTCTCTCACAGCAGATACTTCCAATAAGTTTGATGCACTTAAGAGGGCCTTGAATAATGGGAAAAAAATAAGATGAAATATTTAGATATTAAGTTTCTGTTTCATCTACTCATAAGTGGCCAAAAGAATTCACAGTTGCTAGAAATACCAAAACTTTATATTGCATATGGCAGGGAATAGTTTCAAGTTTTTAAAAATCTAAGAAATAAGCCTCATCATAATACTATCAAAAATTATACAAGGAAATGAGAAATCTTTATCACCTGAACATTGCTCTCTGTAATTGTTATTGCAGAAGTATATGCGTAGTCTAGTAGGAGGGAAACCATATTCGCATCAACTCCACTTAAGGTTACGTGCTCTGATTGAGACTCTGCTAAGCTGCTCAAAAACATTGCCTGGAAGTAATCAAAATCCCTGTTACTGTTTACTTGGAATGAGAGGAACTACTTGATAACCAAACATACTTTATCACTGAATCAATTTGTAATACTGAAATAAAATATGTTCATCTAGTTACTATCTGTGTCTTGTGCATCATATCTACTCTCAAAAATAATTTCATTTAGTCTACATACACCAATGATTAAACAGCACTTAGCACTTACTCTAAAGTAGGGACTGAATGATGCCAACACTGATCTGTGTACAGGGAATGTCTGCCCATCTACGCATAAGGTCACGTCACAGAAGTGTCCTTTTTTCCGCAAGTCATTTAATCCACCAAGCACCTGCATTAATACATGGTATATACTTTGTGCTTATTAACACCTAATTCAATGTATAACAGTTAAGATTTCAAGTGTGTAAATTATCTACTGCTTGACATAATTTCATATAATTTCCCTACTCACAGCTTCTGGGTGGGCAGCATTGACAAACTTGCAATCTTCACTTGGTGAGGACACCTGTGACTCTGACCCTCCTTCTGGCCCTGCCCTATGGCCAGCCGTAGTTGGTGTCTCTTTACGAGACATTCTTACAAAAAAAGGGCTACCAATGCCTCATGAATTTGTATTCCCCATCCTTCCTCTGGAAAGAAGGACTATATAAATAATACATATAGTAAAAGGTCAGTCCTATTCTTTTGCAGATAGATTAAGAATTTTTCTCTCCTCTATCATAAAATGGTTGATTTCTAAAGATAACACAGACTGAGATCTTATGAGAAACAAGTACACAGATTTTGTATTACTGAAAGTAAAAGTTTAAATAGATACTAGGCACTGGCCTATATAGCATAGTCATGTCTTTTATACTGTTTCACTGACTGATACCTCAATCTTAAATTTGTTTTTACTTCTATGGAAAATGGTATATGTAAATATTCCTCTATTCTTGTGGAAATAAAACAAAACTGAAAATGACTATACAATGATATAGTTTATATCTAAGATACATCAAATGACCAATAACAGATAAATGAAACAGATCCAATGGATTACTATTTTCTAGAAAATGGGATGTCAAATTCCTTTAAACTTAATATGACATTGCAATATTGATATCTTCAAAAGTTAATATACATATAGTCTGCACATATCAACACATGATGTTATAAAATTTTCAATTGTCTGAGTAATTTCATTCCAACAGTAAAAGAAAAATATATTATAAAATGCGTGTAAAACCTTTCCTTTTCACAAATAAATTATAGCTGGTATCAGACATCACCTATAACACTGATGTACTTGCAAAATACAAATTCTCATGAAATGAAAGCTCTCAGAACTCAAATACATGTAAATGCACATTATGCAGGATAGTTCTATCTCTGCACACCTTTCTGAATGTGTAAATACACATTTCAGATAGTTGGAACTAATACAATACTTCATTTGCAGAAAGAACCAATATTATGCACATATAAGTACAAAACAGACAAATATCTACCAACCATTCTGTAAAAAAAGATGATTCATACTAGATCACCCTGGAAATCGACATGAAACCTAATATGACAGCTGACATTTAATCCATGACATGAAACGTGATATTAAAATGTAGCTCTGCAATATTACGTTCATACTTCTCAACACCGAACTCATAATCTGCACAGAAAGACAATTACAAACAAGCACTCAATATCTTTTGCCATCGATACAAAAACAAGTGCAAGCTCGCTAATCTTTAATCGTAATTCCCCACAACTAATCGATCACGTATCTTGGCTTAACTATCCGTAATATGTATTTGAAGACAGTCGATTTGCTGTATACTTAAGAATATAAATCTAAAACAAGGAAAAGAAACAGACAACTTCAAGAGAAACAGATAACAAACACAAGAATACCAATTAAGCTTCATTCCGTGCTTCTCCCCACCAGCTGACCACAACAATACTTGAG